GCTTAGGGAAGAAAAGACCAAAGGCCTCCAGGTGAGTACATTCTACCGAGTTCTGCTTTTCTGGCATCGGTTTGGGAAAATCACGTGAAATTCTAAAAAGCTTCTCTCCGTGTTTTCTAGTTGTTTTTTCAGCCTTGCTCTAAGTTTCATGTAGAAAAGGGCATAGAATTATTAGAACAGACAAACTAGACTTCCTCGGGAGAGATGGAAGAAAAGTCTGCTGATTCCAGTTCTGCTTTTCTTGTCTTCCCTTCGACTGTCGTTTTCTCTCCCCTGCTGTTCAAATAGGCTGCAGTTAATTGCTCTGCTGAAGAGTTTGCTGTCCTAAGTGTCTGTCAAATTGATGCCTTCAACTCAAGACAGCACCTGCTCCTTAGTTACAAAAAGTTCCTCACAGGAAATGTTCAGGCGTGCCCATAAATCTCCTCGCTGTTTGTTTGGGAGAACAGGCTTTTCTCGTCTGTAACAGAACAGTCGTGTCATCTGCTCTGGAATGCTGGTGGCAATCTAGTCAGAAGAGGACCCCGTGCTTCACTAATTTTCCCTTTTTGTTGTTGGGGGTGACTTCTTCCCAGGCATGTTATTCTTGACCCCCCGGGGCAAACGGAGGTGTCAGCGTCAGGAGCCATCCTAACTGAGGCCCTGGGAGGTCAGTGCTTTTTGTGGGACTGGACGGTGAAGCTGTCTGTGGGAATGACCTGGCTATGGCTCAGGGTAGTCCTAATTAAGGTGTCTTTTACTCCGTGTTCCCAGGCTGCCTCTTTCCCTTCGGTCGCCGTGGGACGCCTCTGGCAGGACTAACCCTGTGGCTTTTATGTCCAACGTGCTGTGCTGTGTGTGCCTGCAGGTAAGAAAAGCTGGGAGTGCAGTCCCTCTGCTTTGGTTGCTGTGTCTCTTTGGGAGTGATTTTGGAGGGGAATCCCAGAGCGATTTGGTTTGAAGGGGACCTTCAAAGGCCAGCCTGTCTTCCGTGGGCAGGGACACCTTCCGCTGTCCCCGGTTGCTGCGAGTCCCGTCCAGCCTGGCCTGGAACACTTGCAGGGATGGGGCAGGCTCAGCTTCCCTGTGCAGTGTGCTCTGATATCTCTCCACTGGCATCCTGAAAAATTTTGTCAGCACGTTTTGTGTGACAATGGTAAGCGGGACCTGGGTGAAAATTGGGGTTCTCTGAGGTGCAGAGGGAAAGAATTCTCCTTTGAAGTCCAATGTAATTCAGTTTTGCACGAGTCTTGTCTGACTTATGTTTGAATTGCTTTCTATTCTAGGCAGTTCTTTTAAATTAAACTTTTGTGTCTCCCCCCCAGTATCTTGTACAAGACAAAGCTACCTTTCCTCGTGGGAACGGACTGGCCGGGCTTTGGCAATCTGGCCCCTCGAAAGACTAACGTGACCTCTTCCAACAGGGGAAGACTTTCTGGCAAGCGGTGCCAGGAAGAACTGGAGTTTCTGGAGAATAAAAGCTGGAAGCGTGCCCCTGAAAATCCCCAGCCCTGGGTGGTCAGTGGTCTGACTTGCACGGACCGGTGGCCTTGGCCAGGAGCGGTCCTGCGGGAAGCGCCTTTGCCCAGGCTGTAATTTTAATTTCCCTTGGATGCTTGGCAAAGCCCCTCTGGGTGAGCCCCAGTGCCTGGCAGGAGCAGAGCGGGCTTCCAGGGAGGTATTCACCTGGTCAGCGTCAGGAACCATCCTACCTGAGGCCTCGGTGAGTGCTTTTTGTGTGACTGGACGGTGAAGCTGTCTGTGGGAATGACCTGGCTATGGCTCAGTGTAGTCCTAATTAAGGTGTCTTTTACTCTGTGTTCCCAGGCTCCCTCTTTTCCTTCGGTCGCCGTGGGTGTGCCGGACGCCTCTGGCAGGACTAACCCTGTGGCTTTTCTGTCCAACGTGCTGTGCTGCGTGTGCCTGCAGGTAAGAAAAGCTGGGAGTGCAGTCCCTCTGCTTTGATTGCTGTGTCTCTTTGGGAGTGATTTTGGAGGGGAATCCCAGAGCGATTTGGTTTGAAGGGGACCTTCAAAGGCCAGCCTGTCTTCCGTGGGCAGGGACACCTTCCGCTGTCCCCGGTTGCTGCGAGTCCCGTCCAGCCTGGCCTGGAACACTTGCAGGGATGGGGCAGGCTCAGCTTCCCTGTGCAGTGTGCTCTAATAGCTCTCCACTGGCATCGTGAAAAATGTTGTCAGCGTGTTTTGTTGGACGACGGTGAGCAGGACCTGGGTGAAAAGGACATTCTCTGAGGTGCTGGGAGAAGGAGGACTCGTGCGGGCACCTCCAGAGACAGCGGGAACGGGAGCGTGCTGCGGAGGAGGGAAATTCCAGGGGGTGGGTGCCGAGAAATTTGGCCTTCCCTCGCCCTGTGCTCTGCACTTAGCAGTGGGTCAAGTGCAGAAGTTTCCTGGGGACCCTGGGAAATGATGCCGGGTCTGCCAAGAAAAGTGGGGCCAAAGGAGCAGGACCTGGGGCTGCCAGCGTGGGAGAAACAAGGGACGGGTCATCCTCTGCCTCCAGGAGGGAGGGCAGCAGGAAAGGCCACGGACTAAAGCACTGAAGTGCCGTTCCCCAGGGAGCCCCTGCCCAGACCTGAACTTGCTTCTGCACTTGCTGTCCCTTTCCCAGCGGAGCCGAAGCGTCGGGTGCCGCTGCCGGGGGGATGGAGCTGCCAAGGACAAGCTGGGAGGGTGTTTGCGAGGGAAGGGGGGAGAAGGAGCTCTTGATGTGCTTTTTTTACTTCTTCATCCCACAGAATTGCCACGAGAGGAAATACTTCAGAGGGGCTTCCCTCCAGATAAGGCCTGAAGATGCCAGGAGGTTTCAGCCGGGAGGAAAGGAGCTGTGGAAGAAAAGCAGCCTAAAAACAGCCAGTGGGGATCATCAGGTTTTCCAGCCAAGAAGAACAAGGAGAGAGATGAGGGAATCGGGTTCCAATTCCTAATGCTTTGGTGGGTGCAGGAATGATTTCTGTGTGTTTTCCAGTCCCTTTGGATTCCTGGGATGATTTTAAAATGATGGCTTTAGCAATCAACTAAATCGCAGATGTTGTTTATGAGAGGAAATGATGCCAAATAAATGCAGAGTTTTGGGTCAGTTTTGGGGATGATTTGGGTCAGTTTTTGGGGTCAGTTTGGGGTCATTGTTTGGGTTGATTTGGGTCAGCTTTTGGGATGATTGGGGTCAGTTTTGGGTCAGCTTTTGGGATGATTGGGGTCAGGTTTTGGGGTCAGTTTTGGGTCAGCTTTTGGGATGATTGGGGTCAGTTTTGGGTCAGCTTTTGGGATGATTGGGGTCAGGTTTTGGGGTCAGTTTTGGGTCAGCTTTTGGGGTGATTTGGGTCGGTTTTGGGTCAATTTTTGGGGAGCACTGGGTGTTACTGGGGGTTGTTGGGGAGCACTGGGTGTTACTGGGGGTTGTTGAGGAGCACTGGGTGTTACTGGGGTGTACTGGGGAGCACTGGGTGTTACTGAGGGTTGTTGGGGAGCACTGGGTGTTACTGGGGAGCACTGGGAGAGAAAATGAAAAATAAAGAGAATAAAAAATAAACGAAGTAAAGAAGGAAATATAAAAAAGAAAATTTAAAAAAAAAGGCAAAAAAACTAAAAAGGAAATAAAATGAAAATGAAATAAAAGAGAGAAAAAAAAAAAAGAAACCCCTTCTTGGGCACCCCGTTTCCTCTCCTCCCCCCCCCCGAACCGTAAATTGCGGGGTCATCACCCCTAAAATGTGAGAAGGGGACCCCGAAATGTGGGTGAGGGAACCCCAGGGAGCCGGAAAAGTGGAGGGGGAGCCGCAGTAAGAAAGCGAAGCCGGGCGGTCGGGCGGCGGGGTGGGGGGGGGCGCATGCGCAGTCGTTGGCAAGACGCCGGCGATCACGTGGTAAGTAAGGGCAGGCAGGAGAGGGACCGGCGACGCATGCGCAGTGGCTCTCGTGCCGGTGCAGCGCGCCCTGCTCGAGTTAAGGGCCGGTTCCGGCGGCAGGGCGGGACTCGCGGCCTCCCGTCTGTCCCGGGGTGTGCGGGGGGGGAATAACGTGAATTTCTCCTGATTTTAATTCTCTTGGGCTCTTGTCCTCATTTTAATTTTTTTAAGGCTCTTGTCCTGATTTTAATTCTCTTGGTTCAAACCATTTCCTAATAAGTCAGTTTTAATGAAGTGTTTTCCAGTCCCTTTGGATTCCTGAGATGATTTTAAAATGATGGCTTTAGCAATCAACTAAATCGCAGATGTTGTTTTTGAGAGGAAATGATGCCAAATAAATGCAGAGAGAGAGCATGGAATCATCCTGGGATCCTGGAGTGGTTTGGGTTGGAAAGGATCTCAGGGATCATCTGCTTCCACCCCCTGCCACAGGCAGGGACACCTTCTAATAGACATCCAGCCTGGCCTTGGCCACTTCCAGGGATGGGGCAGCCACAACTTCTCTGTGCCAGGACACCTCCCCACCCTCCCAGGGAAGAATGTCTCCCTTCTGTGCAATCTTTCCCTTTCTTCTCTGCAGGAAGTGGGCTGGGACAAGGGAATTGGCTCCCACGAGGCCGAGGATCAGAGCGGGCTGTGCACAGGGGACAACTTCCACTTCCGAACGGGGAAGGGCCCCTTCGTGCCCACCCCTGGCAAACTGGGACAGAGTAACATCTGCCTGCAGCTGGCTGGAGTTCCCGTTGGCTCTGGGCTTTCAGCCCGCCGGGGCTGCGGCGGGAGCCGCGCGGAGGGAACGGGGGCCGGGGCCGCGCCGAGGGCCGGGGCCGGGCTGAGCGGGCGGGGCGGGGCCGCAGGGCCAGGCGGGCTGGGATTGGGCGGAGGCGCTCGAGTGCTGATTGGGCAGCGCTGCCGGCCCGCGGTATAAAGGGCCGGCGGGGCAGGTGGGGGCGGTTGTGTGTGGGGGCTGAGGGTGCGGCCCCGCTGCTGCCCGGGCTGCGGAGGGGAGAGCGCCTTGGCCGCTGGGTTTGTGCACCGGGGCAGCCGGGGGCGTTTAGGGGCGCCTTGTGCTGGGCGGCGGGGCCCGGGTAAGCCCCTTACCTGCCGGGTGCCCCCGGGGAGAGCCGTGGCATGGCTGTGGGTCCTGTGCTCTCTGGGTGTCTGAGGGTTTGCTTTGGGATCCCAAACCCTTTCCCCGTGCAGGGTTATGAGGCAAAGACTGCTTTAACTTGGTTTTTTGGTGCTGCGTTAATGCTTTTTGCTCGTTCTGTGTCCATTTGCAGCCTCGCTCGTGGTTTCCCCTGGTGTGGAGGCGAGTTGTGCTTCCTGCTGGGAGAGAGAACGGCCTTGGGAAGCTGCTCCATGAGCCACAGCTGTGCCGAGCCCGGCAGTCTGTCCAGGTAAGAGCAGGGCTTCTACTGCCCGTGAGGAGCTGGGTTTGCTGTTGGAAGATAGAATGTGCCTGTGCCTTTAAATGCAAGGACAGGCAGAAGCCGGGAGGGACCCTGAGCAGGTTTGGTGGCACGACAGCAGTTTGAAAAGACCTTGACTGTGGGAGAAATGTCCAGGAAAACGATTCCTTTTTTGCAGGGAGGCAGTTTGCGAGGACATGGGGTTGCTGTGCTCTCTAGCAAAACTACTGACCTTGGGATGTCTAGGGTGGGGAGATGTTGGCCACGTGTGGGCTGGAGCAAAGGTGTGTGGGTGCCTGTGTGTGACAGCCGTGGGTGTGCAGGAAGGGGGGTTCTGGTGCCATTGGAGCTGCCGGGGAGCCAAAAGGGGCACGGTTGTCTGAAAAAGGCAAAAAGTCTCAGTCTCTGTTGACACGTGTACCAAAGGAGATGCAAATTTTCCCTTTCTCGTTGCAGACTTCGCAAAGCTCCCCAGGAAAGGAAGCTTTATATTCCTCCCCAGCTTTATGCTAAAGGTTTCCTTCCTCCTGTCTCAGCACCCTTTCTGCTGTTGGGAGAGCACGCGGTGGATGGAGAGGATCCCCAGGCATCTGCAGGCACAAGGGACTCATACAACTGCGATTTTCCTCCAGCCCTCGTGAAAGGGACTTCCAGGATACTCTTGGGAATGTACCAGCTCTCCTGCTGGAGCTTTTCTATGGAATATTTGAACACAAAGGGTAAAACTAAAGTCAGGTCTGTTCTGGAGTATGTTACACTTGTGCAAAACTCCGTTCTTCTGTTTATTTTCTGTTCTGGAAAGAACAGTCTGGGGTTCCTGGGCACTTCCTATTGAGTGATTCCATGAAAATAATTTTGTACTGAAAGGGGAAAGGAGCTGTCTGTGGGAGGTCAGGTGTCCATGATAAAAGCTTTATGCTTTTCAGTCAGATAAGCCTTAAAATATCTCACAGTGTATAGGAATGCCTGGCTTCTAAAAGTCACCAGCTGAGTCTTAGAGGCTCCTTTGAAGAGCTGTTTTCAGGCAGGCAAATTGCCCCCCAGGAGGGACTCTGTGCCTGCTCTCCCGTGGCTCCAAGGGATCTCTGGCCCTTCACGCCGGCACCGAGATTTTCTCGGGAAGGGCCTCAGATCTCCGGACCAGTCTGGGACACAGGCAAGATCCCCCTGCAGTTTAGGACCAAATTGGCCCCCTGGAGGGACAGTGCTGTTGGTGCCCCCCGGGTTGGGGCACCCCGAGGACTCCAGCGCGCACCGAAAGGATTATTCGGGGAGATCCTCGGGGTGCCCGGCCCTGGGGAGCTCAAAGCAAGGTCCCTGCCATGGATTCAGGCATTGCTGAGAGTATCCCAGGGGTCCCTGTCCCTGCTAGACAGGGAGCTCTCTAATGGGCTGTAATTGGGTTCTAAAAGCGGTGCTCCAAGTGCCAAAGAAGTGTGGGATTGGGATTAAGAAATGAGCAGTGAGGGTGCAATTGGCTGTTTTCTCTGGAATGTGACTGTGAGAGCTGCAGGAGTGCCAGGTGTGTGTTCCAGTCCCCAGCATTTGGTTTGCACATGTCCTGCTCAGACACAGGTCCAACTTGCTCAGTCCTTAACCCAAGAGAGGGAGAATTAAGGACTGGCACTGTTAAGGTGATTGGTGTGACAGGGGTCAAACTGAGAAACCATTGGGTGATTCCTCAGTTTGTCTGTTTGCCAAACTCACCCAAACCTGTGCTAGGAAGAGATGGACTGGAGTCTCTGATCCCCTGGGCAGTTGACCTGCATGACCTGGGAGCCTCTGGGATTAGACTGGCCTGGGCAGACAAGGAGCAGTTTGTCCTGTGGAGCTGGGCTGGGTTTGTTGAGGATGCCTTGGGAGGCAGGGCTGGGGAGGCTCCTCTGTTGGCTGTAGTGGTGGAAGGTTGTAGCAGCAGGGCTGGAGCCCTTCACCCTCCTGCTCCCCCCGTGAGCCCCGACGGGACCGTGCCCTTGGCAATGGAGGGCCCCATTGCTGAGTCAGCGGTTCCGGGGGCCAGGAGGGATGGGATCAGGATGCCGAGCTCCACCCAGGGCCAGGGCTGCCAGTGTTCAACCATGGAGGGAACTGAAAGCAGTGAGATGGAGACCAAGCTCCAGCACAGGAATGGGTGAGAAAAGACCCTGGTCCTCAGGTGGAGCTTTGAATTCATTGGAAAAATGGATCCTGTCAGATGGATCAGGCCCTTGTGGGTGCTGGAGCAGAGGCCTCTGTGATTTATGGTCACCCTGAAAGGTTGCAAGGACAGCAAGTTCTGACTGCAGGATGAGGTGGCAAACAAAGTGAAGTGGTCCAGAGAAAAGCTGAGGCTAAAATTGGTCCTGTGCCAGAGCAGCCTCGTGCAGTGCTTGTTGCTGTCCCTGAGTGTCCCATTGCAGTGGATATTTCCAAGGGTGCCTTGTGCTGGGGAGCACTGGGGCAGTTCCCTTTCCCTGGGCAGGGCAGGCAGGGCACGTTTCCCCCCTCGAGGGTGGCTCCACAGTCCCCCCCTGTGCCCTGGGAGCGTGGCAGAACACCTGGACCCACTGTCCTTGTCAGAGAGGGCACAAGGGATGGTTGGATGGGGGAGGGAATGGCTCAGGGAGTACAAGCACCATTACAATGAGTAGGGCAGCACCTGGAAAGGAAGAAGGGGAGTTAATCCAGACAAAATCCAAGCACCTGCCCAAGCTGTGATATTTTTAGGAACTCAGTGGTGCTGTGGTCCCCAGGAAGTATTGCCCAGGACTAGGCAGGAGACTTCAGGCTCTGTCACCCCCAGAGCAAGTGTCCAGGGGCAGGCAGTGGGGAGGCAGCTCTGTTGTTGAGGATGGGGTTATTTTCTCTGCTTTATTTTGTCTCCAGAGATGTTCTTCCCATTAATCCAAACTGACTCCATCTCCTAACTCTCTGAAGAGGTTTTCTGCTTTTTGTGGGAGGGTAAGGTTTGGGTTCTAACTATAGAAGAGCCAACAAAATAAAGGCTTTGTGGCAAACAAATGGTGTCTCCCAAACTCTTTGTACTTCAAATAGATGCCTTTATTCTTAGTTTTTTCTTATTGGTATTCTCAAGGTACTTAATACCCTGTCTACAGTTATTTATTTTGGCTTCTCTTTTTTATTGTTGTTACAGAGTTGATGTGACTGACTTCTTTTTGAAATGCAGCAGTGCTCTCAAGGATATTTCCCCCCCACTCCTGGGCTTGTGCAGGGCTGTTGAGTCCGTGTGTGCCACTGTTCTTGTCCCAGGGGGACCGAGTGACATTTGGAACCAAACCTGGGGACTTGAACTCTAGGAATGTTTCTGTGTCTTTGAATTTTAAATTGCACATGAAGCAGAAATATGTTTGTGTTTTCCAGGTTATATTGTCA